AACTAAAAAATAAATATTAAAAAATTCTCTCTCTCTTTCTCTGAATAAAATGAGATAAAATAAAAAACAGACTCTGGAAAAAAGAAAAACAAAACCTGTGCCATTGGTCATATAACACTATTAGCACCAGCTAATTCATGATAAAAAGAGCCTGGGTGTGCCTAGTGAGAGGTTTAAGTGACCTGTCTGTGTTCTGTTTAGTCTCACTTTTTACAGGAGGGGTGGAGGGCAGGTCTATTTTCTCTGTGGAGAGAAGCAGGCAGTTATTTTCTGTGGGCTTTTGAGTGGCGAGTTTCTGGGGTCTAGAATGCCGATGGACACATGATTAAATGGATCTCTCTCCCTGTCCTCCTAAGGGAAGCCATCAGCCGTGTGTGCGAAGCCGTACCCGGTGCCAAAGGAGCCTTCAAGAAGAGAAAGGTACTACGTGTCTGTCTCCTCCTTTCCATCCTCTCTCACCTCCCAGGGCCTTCAACCACACAACTGCTCCTTGTCCTCTTCCCCTGGCCTTGCCCTTGTTGTTTTTACCAGCAAAGAGAGCTGAGATTGCTCCCTCACGTGGCTGGGGACAGTGAGCTGTCTCGGCTGTCCAAAAGCAGAAACCTTGGTTACTCCCTGTGGCTTAAACTCTAAGATGGCAAGGGCAGCAAACACTTGGCCAGGCTTCTGTGTCCTGAAAGCACTTTGTAGAATGTAGTTCACTCCATCCTAACTATGCTTCGTGGTAGACCTCCCAGTGGTGTGCTGGAAGAAATGCTTAACAACCAGCTCTTAGGGTTGAGAGGGGGAACAAGAAGCACTGAATCTGCAGCATCTGCCAATTTCTGTGGTGTAAATACTTCCATGTGCTGAGCGCAAGCTTTTATCATGCATCTCCAGAAATGGAGTCAGGAAAGAGACGTACAGTAACACATCACTACACAGTACTTGTACCACCAAGGTTCAGTAGACATAACCTGAAAGGCAGAGTTCATATTTTATGCAACAAAACCAGTAGGATATGGAGTGTTGAGCATTGATGGTCTGCTCTTGAGATGAGTTCTATTTAATTGTGAGTCTGTATAAGTTAATGTTTAAGAAATCTGTATATTAGCCAGCTCATATAAATGTCTAATTGGGTCTCCTTCGCTGATACTAGCTAGCTCCACAACACCACTGGAAATCCTCACGTCACAGATGATGAGAACTGAGAGGCAGAGACGAGATGAGATGCAGAGCTTGAGCGGGTGGTGGAGTTAGGTTGGGCCCACACCACCTGCTCCAGAGCCTGAGTGTTCAACTTCATATTCTTTTCACCCTGAACATGGTTTCACAAGACAGGGAAAAATCCTAGTGAAGAGAAATCAGAGAAAACCCTCTTCAGTGAATCGTCTGGTGACGACATTAACTGGCACCCACAATCATGGGCTTTCTAGGACTGGACTGAATTGTGCGGGAAGCATACCTTAGAGAACCCTGAATTGACTCTGGAGGCTGAGCCTTTCCAGATCATTTGGGCAGTTGGTGAGCTTGGCTTTGCTATTCCCAGGGCACCAGGTTGTTTCTGTCTTCAGAGATGGGGGCATTCACGTACCTCCAGGTTGACTGGAGAGAGAGAGCAGGCAAAGAACGTGGGTGACATTAATAGGTGTGTCAGTTTAGGTCTGGTCGATCCTCTGCAGACATTGAGGACCAAGAGAGGCTCTGAATCTTGGATTCAGGGACGGAGAAGTGTCTGAGAACAGAGATAGGGAGCTTCACTCCCAAAGATGGGTGGTACTCAGAAGTCTTGGGTTACCCTCATAGTCCTCTTGGTGGGAGGAGGAAGAAACGGTGCCCATTTCTGGGCTTCACCTCAGGTGCACTTGACCCAGATCTCACAGGTGGGGCCTGGGCATCTCTATTTTTAAATAACTTTTTCAGGAGTGTTGACTTAAAAAAAAAAAGAAAAATCAGCACAGAGAGACAAAAGAAATAGCATTTATCTTGGAAGCAAAGTGCTGCGATTTGGGCACACTGAATCAGGGTAGCCACAAATAGTGTCCCCTAAGGCAAGCATGGAAGAGGGGGTTTTTTTTTTTTCCTTTTAGTAGGGGATTTCCATAAAAAGTTATTTTTGGAGAAAGTTCATTGGCTGGATAGAAATCCTAAACTGTAAGCCTATTCTGATTGGCTAATTAAACGGGGTACGCCCGGTTGAGAGAGAGAAAGAGAAGGCCAGCCGATACGGACGTCAGTGATTTATCCCAGTCTGCCGGAACATTCTGTGGCTTGACCTTCAGCAGGTGGAGTGTGCCAACTCCACTTGAGAAACCCCTGGCCTTCGTCACTTCCTTTTCTTTCCCAGGAGATGAAAACAGTGTGTGCCTTGTTAGAACTAACTGGCATCCGGAAAGAGAGAATGCTCTACTTCAAATTGAAAAGATGGGTTGGTTGGTCCCAAAGGACAGAGAAATGAGTGTGGGCAGGATTTGTCCAGGGACTGGGGCAGAAGGCACCTCACTGGACATGCAGCCCTTTGGTTCCTGAAAGAAGGTTGGGACACCAGTAATAGCCAGCCCGGGTCAGTCCACCCTGGGCTGGCTCAGGCCACAGGATCCTAGCTGGGCTCTCTATGTGAACCCCCACCCAGAAGGTGATTGTGTGGAAGGATCTGGGGCGCATTCCCTTAGCAACCAACACTCACCATCCTTGGAGATTGCGTGGAACCCCCCACACTGGTCTGCTGTGGTCTTTCCTGAGAGGTAGCAGTGCATCTTCTAGATGCCACCTGTCAGCCTCCGCTCTCTCCCTCCCGGCTCACTCATCTTCCTCTTCCCGTGCCTGGGGTGGGAGGAGGGGTCCGTGAGGGCTGGTGGGGGGGCTGTGTGTGGCTGACATCTGGGTCTCCACCCTTGTAGAGGAGGCCAGCGCAGAGGTCGGGCAGGGTGGCCTTCTGTAAATCAAAAACAGATCAAAACATGCTCTTGGATTTCACAGCCTCCGAGCAAAATGCTGTCCAGCATCCTGGGGAAGAGCAACCTCCAGTTTGCAGGGATGAGCATCTCCCTGACCATCTCCACCGCCAGCCTGAACCTGCGGACACCCGACTCCAAACAGGTGTGTGGTCGCCCAGGCCTCCCGGCCCTCCCCGAGCCCAGCAATGGTCTTCCCAGGGCAGCCTCACCAGACCCCCGGTTAGAACATGTTTGGGTCAAATCTGGATCAGTCTCTGAACTTTGGCCGCCAAGAGAATGACGGGTGGGATGGGTTCTCTTTAATTTGGCTGTTAGTAACTATTTTTTGTTGTTTTTCGAAGGACGATGGAAGAAACTGTTTTTATTTGCAATGTGATGAAAAAGGTGATGTAGGTGCAAAAGTCTTCTCTTGACGTCTTATCCCTTGTAGAACCGTGTTCTATTGGTTTTTATAGATGACGTTTTTTATTTTATCAACTTTGAAGTGTCTGGCCTGCCTTGGTCCGATTGACAGAAGTGTTTCTTCTTTAGTGGTTTATGGTCTTGGAACATCTTAGTTCAAGGTGTCGCAGGGCGGATAAGATGTGGCATATCCATGACCCAGACAGGGTGGGTGGATTCAGAGCTGACCAACGCCGCACAGCCGTGGTCAGTGCGGCTAATTCCATGTAGGATGATTGCGTTTCTGGGCAGCGTGTGTCTTATGATTCTTATAGTAAGTTTCTTCAGTTGGAAAAATGGGTATATGAATGATGGTCCTGGCTCCCAACAGGAGATTCTGAAGGTCAAATAAGGCAGAAAACTTTGCCTGGTGAAAAAGTGGATGTGGAGTGGACATTTTTATTGTATCAACTTTGAAGGGGCTGGCCTGTCGAGGTTGAATCAATAGTCATCTTTCTGTCCTCCCCTGCTCTGCCCAGCCTACAGTGCTGGCAATGTGAGCTGGACACTGGATGTGACCTCTGCCCCTCACACTCCATGACTCTGACCATGTTACCAAGGATGCCCGTGGCTGACTTCATGTTCCTACACCTATTTCTGTTTATTGGCCTCCATAACCCCAGGTGGACGAGCAGTATCCTCAGCTTCATTTATGCCTCCAACTCCTACCCAAGAGGTAGAAATAAATTCTAGATTCTGCATAGAACTGAGAAGCCACGTCCAGGCTTTGTTTGGGCATAAGTGGATACCACTCTCGCTCCATTCTTCTGTGTTCCTGGGACCCACAGATGATCCCTCGTCTTTGCATACT